TCAATTTCTAGGAATTTTTTTTTTTTTTTGGCTGTGCAGCTGGAGAGAGTAAGAGCCATGGTACAAGACAGGAGGATTAATTGAATTGTATAATAATGGCAGTAACTTAAATTCATGTTTGAAAGGAGGTAAGAAAAAAATATCTGCCCGACAGCTTTTAAGTGTGTGCATGATTTCTCATTTTGCCTTCTCTCTTTCTTGCCTTGTGACACTTCAGTAACATAGAGTAATACTTTACTTTGGATAAACTTGCTAGATTTATCAGAATGCTTAATTCTTTTCTAGTTATACTGTTACTCATTTTAAAAATTTTCTAGTGATACTGTTACTCAATTTAAAAATTGCCTGATATTTTTCAGATCCATGATGTGGATTAATAGTTTCCTAGCCTGTAATTCCTATTTGTCAGGCAAAACCATCTATCCCATTAGACGGCTATTCAGACTGACATGAGATTTAGAAGAATGTTTTTCCTAGTTGTCTGTTGAGGAGTATCAAATTTTATTAGCCGTTTTCTGCCTCTGTTGTTGGACCTGACCAAAATCAGGAACAAAAATAAAAGCACTGTTGGCAGTTTCTGTTCTTGCATCCTTCCCTCTGTCTCCCCTACAAATGGTGGCTTTTCTTCAGAACTTGGTGGTTCTTTTTCATAATTAGCCCTTGTAGTTGGTGCTTTCCTCTTAATCCAGGCCCACTTTGGAAGATAAGGTGGCCCTGGATGTAATTTAGGCATCTAGACGTTGTCTGAGAGATGGCAGCTAGCTTGCAGCAGCATTTCTACTTTGGAAACACCTTTACGACTTCCTGTTCAAGATCTTGCAAAAACAGGCTCTGTTTGTCTTGATTTAGTTCCTCCCAGCGGAAGTTTTGCTCAATTAGACCTAGGGATTTCAAGCAGCCAAGGCCGTCGATGTGGCATCAGGGCCATGGGAAGACTGAGGATCTTATCTAATATTTTCTGATGCCTTGTGTTTTTAGTGATGTGGTTCTGTTTTTGAAAATCCATGACAGTGAAATTGCTGCCCCATGCTATCAGTCAAACTGTGTTTTGGAGAGTTGAAGTATGCCTTTTCTTTGAACCCAGAAGCATTCTTTTATTATTTAAAGGTTGAGGTTTTCTAGGGTTTTTTGGGGGGTTGAAATTAGATTCTATTAAAAAAGTATACTAAAGCTGAGAGTGGTTTTGCAGTAATTTATCTAAAATGGTATTTAGCCATTGCCTTTTTTTGTCTTCTTTCCTTCCCACCCGCTCCCCGCCATGAACTGATGCATTCAAGAAATATCTGTTGCTGCTGCATATTCAGAAAGCTGTAGTAATGTATTCTGGAATCCTTCTATGTCTGGGTAACGGATAAAGATAAGAAATAGGTATGCAAGGAGGAGAAAAAAAACCCGCCTCTTAGAAACAGTTTTATTCAACTGTTTGGTTTTACTTTGTAGTTTGATTTCTGTATTCTAACTGTTTAGCTTGATAATTGATGCAGAGAAAATTCATTAATAAAACTTGGGTTTTCAGATGTGTCTGTTTTACTGCATGCAAATACCAGACTTCCATTTCTTCTTAACGAAAGCGTTTAATTTGTGCAGAGTTAGAGGTGAAAGAACTAAGGCACATGATAATGTTCAAAGATTTTTCCTCTCAGCTTGGTGTGCAGGATTTAGGTTATGGAAGCTTTCTTATGTGTTTCTGTATTTGCTTTTGAAGGGTTTCTGAGTGGCAAAAGATTGGGTGCCTAATGACTGAAGAGTGTCATTACTTTTGGAAAGGATAAATGTTTTAAGATAATGAAGAATCAGCAGTTAATCTGAAGTTGCGGTTGGCTCTTTGATATATGCAAAGCTGGCCCCCATGGATGACTGTCACTTGTACCTGGGCTGTAGATCCAGAGGCCGCAACCAGTTAAGGTTGTAAACTCGTCCCAGAGGAATTCTGTCTTCAGCTGGAAGTTCAGAACCTTCTTATTAGTGTCTACCATTTGTCGTGGGGGGGACAGGAGATGATCACTGGTGACAGATAAAATGCCTTAGTTGTTCTTTATTACTGTGAATAGCATAGTTCAGGGCAGCCCTGTTTTTTATTTAATTGAAGGTGGCAGCATTTTTATTCTGTCTTTGTTTTTATAATGCTTCAAAAAGTTTTTTGTCTTTAATACTTTGAAGTGTTTTAATAGATGTACTTGTACCTTGTACAATTCTTTATATAGAAGCAGAAAAGACCTGTCCTATTTTACAGTGCTTAAGCTAATTAAAAAAACCCAGAGGGTAAAGCCATATCTCCAGAAGATACTTATCTGCATCTGTTCCATTTTGTCTTTGTTATTCTGGAAACCCTTAGTTTCCCTAACTGGGGGGGGGGAATCAATCTCGTCCTCAGAGTTGTGCTGGTTGAACCAGAAATGTATCTTTTCAGTTGACTTAGTTAAACCAGTGCAAAACACAGGGAGAAACTTCTAATTCTTAGTTTAAGCTTTACATGTTTTGAGCTAGGTGAATTGAATGAGGAAGGTTCAAGCTACATAGACATAAATGTGACTGAATTGAGAATCAATGTGATGTTATGCTTTGTCTGAAGGGAATCCAATTTGGAGCAACTTTTAATATAGTTCAAAATGAGCAATCAAGTGAACAATGGTCTGAATATCTGGAAGACAGCTTTTTATGTGTCCTTTTTCTTATGAGGTTTCCTTCAAAACCATTAATTAAACTGTTCATGCATGCTTTATAACATTGGAATGAAAACTGGTTAGACCAGATGCATTGGCTTTCTTTAGTCTCCCTTTTCCAGAAAGTGAGCGTTGTCCTTGTCCTGGAAGTCTGAGCCCTGGTGGGATCACGGAGAGCGTTGAATTAAAGTTCTTGTAGTGTGAAAGGTTAGAGTATCATGTGCAGGTTTTATTTACGAATAAAGGGTGAGGGTGTGTTTGTATAACAGGCAAGCATGTCTCATAACTCATTCCAAAGAAAATCTTGTCTATAGTGTGGTAATTTAGGAGCCGATGTCCAGACTACTTTGAGAAATTGTAAACATGATGTCTTCAGAACAAAAACCATGAGAGTTTAAGAAAAAACGCTGCATGTTATATTTTTAATATTTAACTGAATTCCAGGGGTATCGGAAGTATTTTGGCAATATTTGGTCTGCCTGACTGCTAGCTGTGTTACTGAAAGAATGCATCTGCCAGTCCATAGTAACGTTTTCTTCTTTGAATACAGCAGCTTTGGATTTGCATGATTACATGATGTAAGCTCATATTTGTCAGTAATGGAAAATCTTTAATTAGTGGTGCACAAGTTTATGTACATCTTCTTATTAAACTGTTTATACATGTTTGAGAATCCCTAGCATATGATCAAGCTCCTTATTATTTGACATAAATGATTTAATCTTTGTACTGCAAACATTACCTTTAAGCTAGTGAGGATTTTTTTTTTTATTCTACTGCAGTTACTTTCGAACACTTTAATCTCAAGAATACTGAAATAGTTTTAGGAGGCAGGTAAATGCAGTTTTTCTCTTTGCTGCGTGTGAAGTTTTGTGCTTTTTGTTAGTGGTTGAACGGTGCACTTACTGGACAACTGGAATAGCTAGAATGTAGCTGTAGTAGTATTTCCATCATTTGAAGTCTTTACCATTGGATTCTTCTGGTTGGTTTTGTTTTGGGGTGCGGAAGGACTTCTAGATCAAAGACAGACATGTTTTAGTTCAGACAAAGTTATTGTTTTATATAGGTGTTATCACATGAAGTGCAATTACCAGTCCCAGTGATCTTTCTGTTCCACAGTGTATTTGTAAGCATAGTCCAAATCTGGTGTCAGGAAACCTGAATTGGGGATTATACAAACGGAATTTCCATTTTACGCTGAACAGTAATATGCCATAGGTTATGCTGAACTTAAGTCAGTCCCTAAATTAATGCATGTATTTAGTCTTTGCAAAGCTGTCATCATTCTAGGTATTAGAAATGCCTCAACAAATAAACATTGAAGCTGTTGGATCTATATCCCATGTATAATTGAAATTACTACATTGATAGCTTTTATGTAAAGGAATTTTATATCAGCTTTTAGAGGAAGACATTATCTTAGGGGTTAAGTAATGATTTGGAAAAGAGACACGATTCAGCTGAATGTTAAGGATTTTTTATTTGCATCGTTCTTCCTAATTTTTTTATGTATCTTGATGTTCTAGAACAGTGTTGGTTTAGAGTCTTTCTGTAGAATTTGTAAACCAGTATTTTCAACATTCCTGTCAATACTGAAATTGCTGGTTTTGGTTTTCTATTACTCACTGGTCTATCAAGATTTTGCCTAGCAAGGGGTGTGGTATTTTAAGCTGCTGGATAGTCACGTTCTAATGGCTTCAGAATTCTTTAGAGACATTTGTTTGTCTCTCTTCTTTTTGAGGGAGAAGTAGTGATTTGGATGGGTCTGGACCAAGAGAAAATCATTAATAGTTGGAAATGTATAATTGAAAAGAGGAGAAATCTATCATATGGTGCTTTCTTGACTTTTATTTCATTTTTTTAAGGACAAACAATTATACTGCTTTGAACACGTTAAAGAAGTTAAAGCCTAAAAAGCTTCTAGTAATTTTTAGCAGTGGTGAACTCCAGCTTCACGTTTGTGTTCTTTGCAATATGGGAGAAAAACTGGCAGAACTGCATGCCATTGTAATTAAACTGTTAAACATAGAAACTTGAAGGGAGAAGCTTGTCTTACCTGTTTGGGGAGTATCTGTCAGCATATTTAAATGAAATTTTATTTTGAAAGTGTATGTTTGTAATCATTAGCGCATTCCTAAGCAGCATAACTAGTTTGTGATCAAATGATGGAGGTATCTTCAAAACATGTAATAACATTCATTGCTCTGTAAACTCTGCACCTTTTGTATTTATTTGTGTTATTTTTATTTTTACAGGATTACAAAGCCATTGACATTTGCTGACTGTGTTGGTGATGAGCTTCCTTTAGGATGGGAAACTGTTTACGATCAACAGATTGGAGTTTATTATATGGACCACATAAATCGTGAGTAGATGTATGATTATTTTTAGGAATCCTAGCAAGCTGATGTTCACTGATGGCACTGACTTTGTTTCCAATACCATTTATGCACCTCATGCTACAGTGAGAAAATGTGTGCAAGCAATTTCTTGCAGTATCTGTTTTCTCATCTTTCAAATAGGGGCACAATCCTTCTTCCATTTTTAAAGAATCTTAAAACCTATGACTGAGTTACAGTATATAAAACTATTTTGTTTTGCTTGGTCATACTGTGGAGTATCAGTAATTTTGTTGTTGCTTTTTGTCATGTGCCAATTATGAAGATTTTCATGCTATACTCTTGTATTTCCTATTTTTCCAGTCATCCATAGTTGACTCTTCTATATTGAAAAACAAAATACATTCTGAGAGAAAAGTGCTGATTTTTAATTAGAAGCACTATGAAATACATTAATCTCATCCTCTCTTAAACAATGTATGTTTTATGCTTTAATACAGTACAAGGTGCTATCAAAAAGAGAACAGATGTCCCTTTTGGAAACTAAGAGGGAGAAATTTCCAACATTTTCCCTTTTGGACTGTTTCTGAGCTTTGACTTGCCGCTGTCTGACACATTTGCCAGTTCTAATTTTAAAAAAAAAGTCTTATCTTTACAGCTTTGTACTACTGCTGCTGTTACTGTTGTGCTGCTATCATTAAGCTTCTTATCACCAATGAGTGAATGCTTTCAATATTGTGGGAATAGGCAGTTGGCAGGGACGGAGAAAAGAAGAAAGTAGTTATATGAGCTATCACAGCAATGGTAAATAGTATAATCTGCAAAAACAACCTCAATGCTATCTACTTGAAATCTAGTCAATTAAAAAATAAAAGTGTAGAAATAATTTTTGGCTTCCTGCCATCATTGGAATTACTTGTGTATTGTGGTTTCACAATTACTTATTTTAAAAAAAAATAAAAACCAACAGAATAACAAATGTTCCCATGATATTGTTTGACCCACACAGGCACTTATTTGTTGTGAAATTAACAAAGATCACAAATTAAATACTAAACTGTAAAGAGCTCTTAATGCACTGATCACAAGGATAGACAGCCAAGACAACTGAAAGGCAATAAATACAGACTGTTAGGTAATTCTTACAATAACTATGTTTAAAAGAAGTAGTAGCTTAATGATTGCTGTTTAAATTGCATGCTAACTTTAGATAATGTTGACGTTTAATAAAAAGTGAGGTTTACATTGGAATACAGTAATGGAGTGCACTTGCACCAACATACATACATGTGTGTGAATGCACGTATTTAAAAACAAACGAGGATATCAGCAACTCTTCTTTTTTTTCTTGAACTTTGTAAAAGGCTTTAGGAGTCCCTATAGATAATGAGTAGAACATGAACTCCCATTGCAATGCTGTGACTAAAAAAGCTACTAAAGCATCCTACCGGTAGGCATCTTTGATAGGAATAACAATCGTGATCGCATGCAAAAGAAATCACTCCCTTTTGCTTTTCAGACATTGTTATTAGCTGTCTTACCACAGACATCAAGTTTGAACTTACGGAAAGGATATTAATCGTTGTAGGCATGTCAGATCTGGCTTGCATTTTTTTTCTGTGCAATTGAGAGCAAAAACTGTAGAAGAGAGTCTTTGCAGAGAGAAATTGAATTCCCAAATGCTCAGTGGGAAGGCACAGAAGGAGAAGATTAATATAAATGGGTTTGGGAAAGTAAAGCTAATCATATTAGGAATTAAATATAGGTAATATATGAACAGAGGGATAGAAACTTCATAGGGCCAGTGCTGAACTGAGTGAAAGGAATCATTCTGCAATTAACAAGGTTGCAAAATTTGTCTCTTTCATGATAACTAATTACTTGCAGCCCACAGATATTATCCTAAATGGTAATCCAACCGTCACAGCAAAATGGGTTCGTCACCCTTAGGCTTAATACAGTGCTTGCATATACAGGCAAGATTTATATTCAGAGGGGAGACAGAGTTGATGTAGCTGGATAATCATTATTCAAAAGTTAGTAGGATACTCATTCCAATTTTAAACTGTGGACAACAAAGGTACCAATCGAGACTGCATTAACCTCCTTTGTAGAAGTGAGAACTAAGGAGCAGACAGTCGTGTGTCATGAGATGGTGTCAGGCAGGTGGCAGAGATGGTGTACGAACTGAAGAAATATTTTTCTGAAATGAGGTCCTTACATGTATTCTGAACTATGTCTAAAATACTTGGAACAGCAACTTCCACGTGAAAACATTCGGACTGCCTTTTGTGGCTGACCGGGTTAAATGCTTTACACAGCGTTGGAGTTCTGTGTTAATGGACAAAACAGTTAGAAGTGCTTCGGTTTCAAGAAATACTGTGAGAAAATACAAGGGACGATTCAAAGAGAGTCTTTCCAAAGTTATGCTTACCAGGACCTCTCATGCTTTGTGCACCATCTCAAGCTTTTTGCCCTTGCACCTTTGAAAAGAAGAGAGTAATACATCTGATTTTTTCCAAGCTTCTTGCTGTATTTGTTTACACAGAAAGTAATAAAAAGATTTCTAGGCAATAACTTTCCATTTATATTGAAAAACCCCAGGAACAGAGGAATCTTCTGTAAATCTCAGTGGTGCTTCCAACCCTGATCTCCATCTTGTTCTGTAAATTCAGTACTTTGTTGACACCCTTACTAAGCTGCTCTTGGCTCTTGTCCAGCCATTGCTTAAAAAACTTGGCGGCTGCCAGCCGCAGAATTCCTTTCCCTCCTCCTCAGAGTCTTGGGAGCCTTTGAAGTCTCCTTCAACCAGTTGGGCATTCCCCAGTGAGGGAATAATATATTCTCTGCATTTGTCTGGGGCTGTTCTTGAATTACTGTAGGTTTGTTTGGGGGTTTTTGTTTTTTTTTTTTTAAAATTGGTTATAAAGAAATGATGGAAGTGAATTTTATCATACAACATAGCCTTAATTTTGTTGTTGCATGGCAAACTTGTGTAGAAATCCAGGGCAAAGTGAAGCCTCTGTACTTTATAAAACAGAAGAGAATGTCACTACTGTGCTGAAGAAGTTTTCTGCCTCAGAAGAATGCTGCTAGCTTTTGAGAAGGCTTCTGAAATAATTTGATAAGAGATGCAGTGTCCTGTAGTATAGGACTTAATGTGTGATACAATATAAGGTTTTAGCCTTGACTCTTTATTGAGATTAGAACTATTAAATTGCTATCCAAAAAAGAGACACTTAATAGGATTCAGCTTTTCTGTCTCGTAAATATTTATTAATTTCTGCATAGTTTCCATAGGGGATTAGCAGTTTTAGGAATATTACATTTGCATGGATTTCAGGAATACTTACGGGCAGATGACACAGCATTGCACATTATTATGCCATTAGTAAAGGATGGGCTGCAATGTGAACTGTTTTCTTCTGCTTGCCCTGCATACAGGGAAGGATTTATGGAGGCTGGAACAAGCCACAGCACATCCTGTCCTGGGCTGCAGAGGTAGTTTTGGGGGTATTGGAGCCAGAAGGTGCTGCTGGGAATCAAGGGTCCATGGGATATGGGGAGAAATTGCAGAACCATAGGCACAATCTTTATACTCTTGCAATATGAGGAGTTGTGGGGAGGGAAAAGTTACAGCTGTTGAGAGGAAAGGTTATTAGGAACCTAATACACAAATCTGTTGGAAGTACTGCTCATAGATGAGCTTTGTGTTTTTGTTTATGTACTTTTCAGGTGGCTCTCAAATGGTAGAGCTGCTAGCATGACCTTGACACTATTAGAGTTCTTAACGTGTTGGGCTCAGTCTTTTATAGTTTCTTATTTCATCACTGACACCAATGTACTGAATTATGTACACAAGATTAATACAAAACATAGCTGGCTTTCATCTCGTGAGAAACAAAGTTTGGAAAAAATGACTAGGTTCTTACCTCCTGATTGTGCTGCAGGTTCTGCCACTACTTTGAACACTGACGTTGCATCTGCAGCAACTTCTTACCAGTAGAGCCTCAATCATCAGAAATTAACATTCACTTAAACACAAGACTTTACATGGACAGCCTCATGTAAAACATATTTGCTAGCTTGAGCATCACCACAAAAAGAAAAACAACCAATAATTTGGGGGGGATTTTAATGCATGTGTCCCCCTCAAATGTCTTTGCAACTGCCAAGAGATTGCTGTATCATAATGAGTTTGAAAATCAGTGTATACTGGAAAGATTTTGTACTGGAAGCCTATTTTTGGTTTGTGTTTGAATACAAACTAAACCCTAGAAAGGGAAAGCATGAGAATGCTGTTTCTTAAGACAAAAAAAGAAGCAATTTAAACGTTTTTATGGATTTGAGATTAAAATGCTATTTTTTCTGTTGAATGACCTTATTCTTAATTATGTAGGTGTAGTCACTGACCTTTCAGGTGGTTATACTTGTGAAGTTGTGTGTAGTATCTTAAGGTTGTTCCACCCACGTGTAGAGTTATGGGTTAAACACTGAGATACCTTTCACCCTCCTATGTGGTTCTGGGTTTTTAGGTAGTTCTCAGAATTTTCAAGCTGGCTACGAGGGAAGGTTAGAGCCAAAACACTGTTTTCTTTGGGTTTGCTCTGGTTTGTAAAGAAAAGAATCAAATTTAAATGCCTTTTATACTTGAAAGGGTTTTTCCTGTTCTTCCGCTTTGCATCCTTCCTTCTCGTCCAGGCTGGAGTAATTTTGAGCACTGTAGTGTTAGGTGTGCTGGCTGAGACCTTAACAAAATAATTTGTACTTTGTGGGATAAAGTGTCTTACAATTTTCTTTTCTTTTTTTTTTTTTTTTTTTTCTTTTCTCCTTAGAGCTCACACAAATTGAGGACCCAAGGGAGCAATGGAGAAGGGAGCAGGAACGCATGCTAAAGGAATATTTAATAGTTGCCCAGGAGGCACTCAATGCCAAGAAAGAGATTTACCAAATAAAGCAGCAGCGTTTTGAACTAGCCCAAGAAGAATATCAACAATTGCACAAAATGTGTGAGGATGACAGCCGTTCTTATGCCAGCTGTGAGTTTACTAGTCTTTTCTTGGTTCACCCACCTGCCTCTCACAACATGTGGCGTAAGAAATAGTGTGAAGTGTTTCTGTCGCCCAGTTCTCCTCTGAATGAAGATCCTGACTACAGAAGTGAGGCGTTATCCTTTGACTCGGCTATTCAGGGACTTCCATTTCCTGTTAGGTCTATTAGAATGTGCCTTTTTAACATTAAACAGGGATATATCCCAGTGAGCATCTCTAGCCATCTCAGAACCAGCCATAGTGATACTTCATGCAAGGCAACAAAGACAAGACTGAATGTTGGTGGACCAGCCACCTACTTGCGCTCCTAAATTCATAGATTATTCCACCCTTGAAACGGCGGGGAACCATCAGCTTAGGGAAAGCCTTCTGCAGACCCATGGACGGTTTATCAACTTTATAAAATAGTTAGGGACAAAGTGTTGTGGTCAAGAGTACCTCTGACCATGAGGTAGGAAGCGGTGTTTCATTACTGCACCTCGTTCTTGAATGCCAGCCTCTGATCCTCATGTTGGTGGTGTAGGTCACAGAGCCTTGATTTCCTGCTCTTTTCATTCTTCAGATGTCTCTGGTACTTGGAGTAGATGATACACTTTTTCTGAAATCTGAAGTTGTTGCATTGCTGTCATGGCTGTTGGCTGGTGCACCAGGAAAAGGTGTCTTTGCTGAAGAGTCAAAACAGCCTGGTTCAAAGAAGTGTATCAAATGAATATACCCAACAGCCATGTGGAAATGTAGTGGGGTTTCACTGCGCTGGTGGCTTTTCAGTGGCTGCCGTGTGTACAGCCATTGTTTAACTGCAGGATCTGCTGGTGAATGCCAAGTACTTGATAAGTATGGGAAGCTCGGCTTAGCCCTTTCTGAAAATGTTCAAGAAACCTGACCATGGAGGGGGGGTTAGAGGAGGCATCTGGATAGAAGTGTTTAGCTGCTGATCCAGTGGTATTTATTAATCCAATTTATGCCAAAATCCTGAATAAAAGATGTTTTGTAGGACTGAGGTGTCCCACATGGTCTTGACCAAGTGTGCTTTTACTGTTGGACTGGGATTATCTCATCTTTTTGCTTAGATTTAAATATATATATTGTGTGATTTAGTTTGTGACATAACTGAACAGTTGTGACTAGTCTTATTTCTCCCTGTTATGTTCACATTTCTTAACAATTATTAAGAAAGATTACTTTTTTTTTTTCACTAAGAAATTTTAAAAAAGAAATTATTGTTTAAAGTGTTTAACTACTGTTTAAAGACTTGGAATAGGGTAAAAGATAGTATCATCAGCATTTTTTTAGGTTATAAAATAAGAATGTGCATTTATTACAGTACTTTTCTAGGAGCTTGGGCTTTTTGGTTTTTGAATGTTTGCAATAGTTCTGTGGGATATTTTGTTGAATTACTTCAGGCAAATATACAGAAAGAAACTTCCGTTGAAGATGATAGTACAGTAGAAAAATATAACCTGTTTTTCATGTTTTTAAAGCTCTTGGAAAACAAGTTGCTTGAAACAGCAACAAAGTATGACTGAAAAAACCTCCAGTTTTTTCTGTCTGTAGCATGAATGCAAATGCTATGTCAATTGACTTGTATGTTTCTCAGTCTTCTGATAGGCCTTTTTTTTATGTATATCTGGAATTGATAATGAGATACTGTAAAATCACTTAAAACGTTTCACTTGTTTTGAGGTGAAAAAATACTCTAATTTTCTACAGATGTGTTAATATATTTTATATTGGTTTAAGGTCATATGTGTCTGTTTTGAGAAAATGGGATGGTCTGATTAGTCGGATGATATATTAAAAAAAAAAAAAAAAAATCCCTTTGCGGATTAATCATGCTGTCAACTCAAGATTCCCCAAGGCTTCTCCACTTGTTTTTCTTGATTCGACTCCTCCATTCCACTCTGGGATGCTTGCTTTTCCATTTATTGTACAGAAATCTTAGGCTCCTAACTCAAGTGCAATTAGATGGCCAAAGTTGAGTGCTTATATTGCGAATATTCCTGCCTCCACCACCACTTGTTTCAATCCGTTTCATTAAAAGAACTAAAACTTCACAAACTGTTTTCTTCCTCTTTGCTTGTGGGCACTGCCATTGACTCAGTGTCGTGTGCTCATGAGTGGGAGGTGGTGTGAGCTCAGCAGTTGTGGGTTGGCAGGGAGGTGCCCATGCAGCAGTCTTGTGACTCAGTTGTGATCAGCACCGTTTGGGGGGGAAAAAAAACCCCAAACCCAAAATATCCATAGAAAATCCTGGATTTAGAAAATTAGTCCAGGCATGACTACTGATTTTGGCAAGTTCCTGCACGCTTGACATGACCTTGGCGTTGCAGTATTCTTTTGAGAGTCGAAGGGCTCAGCACAATGCAGACATGGATATGGGTTTCAAAGCGGCAGCCTTGAGCTATACAAAATGATGGTAGGTCTAAGAGCACAACCCCATCCGTTCGCATACCAGGCATTTTTCAGTGGGCCAGTGCTGCCGTGAATGGCTCGCTCAATATGGCTGGTCTTGCCCAGCCTATACTCTAGGTCCTTGACTTCATCTGTCTAGGCTTTAGCTTGTAATGCCACAGCTTGAAATCATTGCCTGACTCTAGATACACTGTCTTAAGACCTCACTTGCCAGAGGTTGATCTGTGTGTTGGTTCCCTATA